ACAGTGCATGCCTTAGACCGCTCGGCTACCGTGACTGGCAAATATAGGATCATTGCATATATATTTTACGTTATAAAGATAATTCGTGTATAAATTTCCTCTACTTCGAATTGATTCATGTGATCCCCAGTTTCATACTTTCATTGCACAATAATCATGATAAGAATTAGTTATTCTGCTAACAGTTTTACGTTCTATTGCTTTTATTTACTTGCAGGCAAGTAAGGGAAACATTTACAATAGGCCAATCAGTGGCCAGAAGGTCTCATCCGTGAAAACTGAATAATAATAATAATAATAATAATATGGCATGAAGATAATTATGAGGGAAACGAACGCGAAATAAGGAAATATACAACAGCCGTTTATAAGTAACGACTTCTCAAACAAACACGTTTCCACGAAAGCAACAATTGAATACAGAAATGGGAAATTGTGTTTTCTGCAGGGTCCGTGCTGAGATGTTATGCGTAGGACAAATCCATGTGACAGATGATTTAACGTGTTATATGTGTGATACGTAATAATATTATATTTCAGCATCCTGTTACATTAATATCTCACTCACTTCCGTTTATAAATGCAAACACAAATTTTTATTTTAACTTTACGCCCCGGCTATTTTAACACCGAGGAAAGAGCGCATGGTACCAATTGTGTACGTCCAGGTAAATCTTCGCTTGACAAATTTCTCTGTTCCTCTGATCCCTCAGCTCTCTAAACAGCAAATTATTTTGTTATTATGAACATTAATCTTAATTATCCAGAAATATTTGTTTTTTAATTTTGGCGGTAGAAGGGCGTATCGAATGGCCTCAAAATTCTACAAAGGAGTTTTATTACGAAGAAAGCAGTCTTCTGGGATGTGGCACCGTGTAGATGTGGTGTTAACCGACATTTCGGAGGAACATATCGCCTCCATCTTCAGGGTAGAAGGAAGCAGTCTGCTTGTACCGGTTCTAACGGTCTCTTTGCTTGCGGATTTTCTTATTCTTCCTTCTACCCTGAAGATGGAGGCGATACGTTCCTCCGAAGCGTCGGTTAACATCACATCTACACGGTGTCACATACCAGAAGACTGCTTTCTTCATAGTCACCGCCGTGAAAGCTTCAAATCTTACAGAGTTTTATTACGTTAGGTGATGCAGTTAATAAGCAATAGGCATTACATGAGGCCGCTTATTTTTGGATTTCCGAGTCAGCGACTTCTAAAGCAAGTCGGCCGTTCTCTGTGCCGTAGGAAAGCGGACCAGTCAGCGCAATTGCGGAAGGAGGAGGAGCGGCTGGCTCGTGATTTGGGGCCGTGTTCTCTCCTGCGGGATTTGGGTAACTGTCCTAATTTGGGTACTTTCGAGGCTAACTCTCTTCATGTATCTGAGTTACATGTTACATTTTACATGTAGAGTTCCACTTTGGTGGTGAATGGATGCCATCAATATTTCGTAGAAAAGTTTTGTTTATTTTTCAGAATAAAATAGGCATAAAATTACTGTATACATATCCTCAAGATAACCCTCCAAAACGTTGGTACCTGGCTACCAAACTACACGGCTATACGTCCCAACTTTTATTTAATCTTGACACTGCTCTAATGAACTCACAGTTTATATTCATGTTTGTTCTTTCTTCCTTGGCACTACAGTCCCAGTGGGCCTAGGCCTACCTCCATGAATTTCTCCGTTCACTTCGGTTTTTCTAGATCTTACACATTCGGTAGGACTCCTTGGGTGGGTGATCGGCTCGTCGCAAGGCCTCTACCTGTACACAAACATCCATGCCCTGAGTGGGATTCGAACCCACGATCCCGGCTTCCGAGCTAGCGAAGACAGTACATGCCTTAGACCTCTCGGGTACCGTGACCGTCTTTCATGTTTGTTTACTCATTTATAATTATTACTTTATGCAGTTCGTTTCTCTGTGTACATAGTAATTTGCACGGTCTACAAGTAATGAATTTGCGAACGAGTTCCGGAAATCGAAGTAGACAAATATATTTCGGAGACGTTTTCGACGGGCTAAGGGTGGCGTCATGTAATATTGTATTCACGAGCAAGAAGTTATTTGCTCTGCTGAATACGACAGAGCTGCGACACTGACGAATTCAGCTTGTGGAGTGCGGTTCCGACTGATTTATTAGAAAAGTTCTAACTTTTCGGTGAAGCTTGCTGTCTCACACTTCTACCCTGAACACGGAGGCAAAAAGTTCGTACATTTTTTCGCATGCAACAATGCATATCATAGAAGAAAATATTATTTCTAGTCACCGCCATAAGCGCCTGAAATCTCACAAAAGCTGCAAATGTTTATTGTAACAATTAACTAAGGCTCTGTTATTGTGTACGGAAAATTGCATATGTGGCACCCAGTACTTGAATATTAATTCGTACTACGAACAGATGTCATGAACTGGAAATAAAATGTAGTAATTCGGTCTGAACTCTCTTGTAAACGATTACAATTTCCAACAACTTGGAGGTTATTTAATGTAATTATTTGACTCATCATAAAATTGCAGATATATCCACTTAAATGTGGATTCTTTATAGCGCCCTTTACATTGGGACCAATTTTTATAAGAAAATAAAGAATTTCTTCAATTTGAACAAAAATATTCAGCTGTTTAAAATAATTATGCAAAGAAATGTATCGTTTTTATTGTCAGGTTTCATTAATAATGATGCCATGAGCAATGATATCTGAAACTGCCGACAATTACGAAATGAGCGCTGAAGCGAACAGGAGCTTCCGCGATGCGACACGCCACTACACAGAACTGTTCCGGGAGGAAACCATCAGGCAAAGCAATCGGCTCTTGATGCTTTCTTCAGGATGAACGCTTTCAGTTAATCGCAGCCTTAGCTGCTACCTCACCCATATTACAGCCTGTAAGGCCGGGCCTTATATGTTATAAATATTTTGTAATTCATTCTAAATATGTTAATATTTTTAACAGCAGGTTATAGTAGCCGCGCCATCTAAGGCATGGACTGTTTTCGTTCGCTCGGAATCTGGGAACGTGGGTTCGAATCTCACTCAGGGCATGGATGTTTGGTATGTGTATATGTTTATTCTGTGTTTGTGTTGTCCTGTGTTAAGTCAGAGGCTTTGCGACGAGCTGATCCCCCGTCCAAGGCGTCCTACCGACTGTGAAAATGATTACGGAACTGAACAAGAGGCCAGGGCCCTGAATGGGCTGGAGTAGCCCTTGAAAAATTAACTGTAACTATATTTGGAAATTGCCGGTTAGGTAGCCGAGCGGTCTAAGGCATTCACTGTCTTCGCTCGCTCGGAAGCCGGGATCGTGTGTTCGAATCCCACTCAGGGCATTGATTTTTGTGTGCGTTTTTCTGTGTTTGTCTACAGGCAGAGGCCGTGCGACGAGCTGATCACTCGCCCAAGGAGTCCTACCGTATGTGTAAGATCTAGTAAACCGAAGTGAAACGGAGAGTTTCATGGAGGTAGGCCTAGGCCCAAATTGGGGCTGTAGCGCCACAGGAAAAAAAAATAGGAAATTATATATATAGTTTTATTCCGCGCGTTGCTCTTGTACGAACACCTTCCAATACCTACCGTACTAACCTGACGAAGCATAAACCTATTCCTCTAGCTATATTGTTGCCAGGCGACAATTCCGAGCGTTAAACAAGTAATGACTGTAGGAAGCAATTATAATTTTAATATATAGGCATATTCGTTACAGTCTCTGTTAATGGCGTAAAGTGGGATACAATTCAGTCTTGAGAAGCTAGTAACAGCCGAGATACTCAAGGAATTCTTACGGAACCAGCGGGCTCACTGAAATGTTCTTAAGGACCCACCTTTTGTAAGGTAAGCATTTAATATAAGAAATATCAGAAATTGTTAATGAAATCGTGATTTTCATTCTGAATGTAATAGAAAAAGACCAATGGATTATATTTAAACGGTCGAGCAGGTGAAAATGACAAGGTTATATCGGCATACTTTAACATAAGGAACACCCTCCCGAAGTCTGGTACATTCCTCCTGGGACAACCTATATATATATATATATATTAGAAAGTTTGTCATATATACAAATCTTACAAGTACCATCTTCTATAAATAAAATATTGAACTATAATTCAAGATTACTGTTAGCTCTAAGTTAAAGAACTTCGATCCTTGACTCTGGTCAAGTGGGATTTGTGGTGGACAAAGTGGCGCTGGGGCAGGTTTTCCCCGAGTACTTCGGTTTCCCCTGCCAATCTTCATTCCACCAGCTGCTCCACAATCACACTCACCTATCATCGGGGGCTGGTTCAATAGGCCAGAAGTGGCCGCAGTACAAGGAACTCAGTCCCACCCCACTAGCAATAAAAAAAATACGGCAGATTCAGGGACCTTACGTCCCAAAGTCAGAAAGGAAAGCAGAAGAATGAGGAGAGGAAGAAGACGAAAGAAACCAGGAAAAAACACAAAGAAGAGGAAAAACTGAGAAGGAAGACATGTAACATAAACTTTATCTGTGGAGTACATTTTCTCTACTTGACTCCACCCCGTTTAAGCTCTGATTCCTCATGATACAGTTTTTATAAGAGTAACATTCAGTTAATAATTCACTATTAATCGGAACGTAACGTGGCGTAACCAACACTAACCAACGCTCACGGCGCCAACCGTTCCGTCAGTAGTAGCATACATTAACGCCAGGGAATATTAACCAGTTCACGCTGCGATAATAGGATCATCGCAAATGACTAACACTAACCAATAATCGCTGTGCAAATTATTTCGTTGGAAGTAACGCAAACTAACACTAATAAATATACGCTGCACTAGCTGGTTCATTAGACGTGGCGTAACCCTGACAAATGAACGGCGCGTTAATTTCTTCGCCGAAGTAGCGTCACAAATATTAACAGATACAAGCTACATACTTTATTAACATGTCCAAGAACAAGGGTCTCAATTCAAACTGCATGCATACCTCCCTCTCCCCCTCCCCTTACCCAAATTGTTGAAGAGTGTCTAACCTGCCAGGAGTTCGATTCCAGAGCCAAGAACGACATCCTCGGGCAACTGTTGATATCCGCAGCGCAGTCTGTCGGAACGTGGTTGCAGTACTGAGGGTGGAAGGAACGCGTTACTGGACCAGTTGGGTGTCGAACCAAGTCCCAACAAGCAAATATGTCGGCTGCACAGACACCCCCGGGAGGCGGCGCGGCGGCGGCGGTAGAAGCCTGAGGACCCTCCACAACTGACGACGGACGTACCTCTAAGTTGCAGCAACAATGCAATCCTACAGACCGCTGCCTTCACACGTAAGTCACACCTTCAGTTGCCAAGTCACACATACCCCCACAAGACTCTTATGGAATTGTCTTCAGCACAGATAGGATGTCGCCTGTTTTAGTAGGCCTCTTGTAACACACGTATAGAATTAAATGTATCTACAACACAACTGTTAATATGTATTTAATACACTCGTATGATGTTACGGTATAATTCATTGTTCCAAAACAATACACTTATTCTGTATAAACGACATTAAACTTTATTGAATACTCTTGAAACATCAGACATATTTTTCTTCGCACAATAATTTTACTGACTTTCTGCCCCCTAAATTTAACGCTTTAAAGACCGAATTTCTTCGAAATATACATAAAAATCCAGTCCGTACCTCACAGGAAACACATCACTTCTTCGTTACAAAGCTCAAACGGTTAATGCTATCGGGGTAAACGCGAACTCACAGATACACTTTGTCGCCAGAATGCAATAAATATAATTATTGAGTCCGTACCTCATAGGAAACACATTACTTGCCCGCTACAAATTCCAACCGGTTAATTCTGTCTAGAAAAACAGTCATTGTTTATTGTGAGAGTCATACGGAACACACAACTACATTCTATGAGAAGAAAGCAAGAGTTTTATAATATTAATGCAGGCGGTAACTATATAGATCACTGAGCTTTAAAGTGTTGAGAGATATCGGTCTTTTTACTAATTATAATTACATACAATTCAAGAATTTATTCTCTTGAAAGTGCTGTTCGTTAAATAATTTCTTCCACTGATACAATAAAGATCACAGTTGAAGGTCCAGATATAAGATTTCTGAACATAACTTTGTTTCTTAACATCTGTGACACTGCTTACACCTTCGATTAAAAAGTAACTTTGGGATATTAATAATAATATACTTAGTTTGCGGAACAGCCTGTTGTTATATGTTGTTGTTACTGACGGAAAGCAGTGGACTGTCACACGTGTTGGAGCAACATGCCTATACTCTCGATAATAGTGTAACTAAATATTACACGATACGCCGATACACTGATGCGATTCGAAAAACACAAGCAATAACTCAGGGCGTCTTCGCGTTCGTTTAAAAAACTGATGACGATAATGGTGAAGGAAAATATCACTCTAATATCAGTAGTTGTCGCGGACTGTTTCACCGAAATAAGGGTCGGAATTATTTGCAAGAACTCCGCAACTCAGCTTGGTTCCCTGGTGATACTGCCAGTTTAAACACGGATGTCACCTTGTATCACCAGTCACGTTAGTCTGCAGTACATTTCTTCTATCACCAATTTTCGTAATGAAGGAAGCTGATTACCGATGTCAAATTGCTTACTCACTGTCCTACTTGCCTCCGCGTAAAACTTTCTTGAAACATCTCCTTCAGCATCTAGAAAAAAATAAAAAGTAACACAGCATTAAAATATAACAGTGATGTCAAACACTTTCTTTATTAAAATTATTCTCTTCTGAGATGTGACCCTGAATTGAATGATACATCGTCAATACTTTTGAGGAGAACCTGATGTTCTCATCATGTGCCGTGAAGGAGGAGGCAGCAAGTTCGTCCGAAACATTTCTACCCATCTACTACGTCAGATTCCGCAAGGTGGGAAGACTCAAAGGCATTCCCTTGGGAAGAACAGATGTTGCTCGCTCTACAATTGCATTAAAACCTCAAAGCACGCAGTCTAACGTTTGTTGGACATGAGGCTCTCAAAGCTGTGAGGTATAACGCCGTGTACTTTGGTAGAAGTTTGCCGATATCTTCTCCGAACTTGTTGCCACCAGAGAAGGCCCTGAGAGTTGACTGCGCTCGCTATTTGACAATGAAAATGTAAACAATACGTTATTCTGAAACGTCCAAGAACGTCTATCAGATTACGTGTTGTCGTATTGTAGCGTGTATTGTTTTTTTAGTGGAGAACTTTCCGAGGGTAAAGTAGCGTGCGTCTTTTATAATATTAGAGAATATTTGCATGTTTCTTAGCTCTCCAACGAAATTATTTGCCTCCGAAACTCCCAGAGGAAGCGTTAACTTCGGGTCTGCGGGAACCATCTCAAGGAACAAGGTCAGATGGTGGCACTGAAGGTCGAAGGAAGGGCATACAAGCAGACGAGGGCCTGATTACTGCACAAATTTTTAACTTACATTTGTGGGCCCGTTGTTATCGTTTAATTCATGTTCATTTTCAGTTCCTGTCGGCGCGTACTCCTATTCCTTAAAAGAAAAATGTTATTATTCTAGTACCATTTTAATGTCTGTAATTCCAGTGTCTATTAGAGGTTTATACAAAACTTCTCAGTTAAACTCTTTTAGCTTATAAAACACTAAATTTCATCGCTATTAAAAGATGAACACAGCAGATGCATAAACTGTATTAAAATTCCTTCGTTATCGCACACTTAAAACTTTAATTATTCCCCAATTCCCTTCAAATAAATTCAATTCCAAAATAATCTACAAAATATGTGAAGTTTATATTAAAATTTTAGTTATTTTCAACGCTTACGGGGGCTAAACAGTAATGTTGACACGGTAACAAGACTGTAGTTGCAACACGGCAGGCCAATAAACTGCAAAATAATTAATCGTCTAAGAATTGTCAGGCGGGCAAGCCTCAGAGCCATAGGTAGAGGCTAGATAATGTGATAAACTGAAGGCGCCAATAAGGGGTTTCCCATTCTTCTCGGAAACAGCGAGTTCGATATTGTCGCTATAAGTCATTGCCGTGGAATTCGACTTGAGAAATTAACGTTATCACGTGAAATTCTCACGAACAGGGAAACAAGAAAACAGGCTCGGCAACTAAGATTTCAAAATTCTCAGTATGATTTACAAAGAGATGAACCTGAACCAGTAAACTAAAATGGAGTCTACTTATACCAACTTGTGACAAATAACTTTTTTATTTTATGAAGTTGCCTAAAGTAAACATTCCTTCTACGAGGCAGATTGTGTGGAGTATTGAACTACAAAGTCAAGTAGGCCAGGGTTTATTGAGGAATTCGTTCCAATAGTTGAGTTTGGAATTAAAATGAATCAGAATTACTGGGTTTTTGGACCTTGTCCAATGTCAGGTATTCTAGAAACTATAGAATACAACGTTTCGGCAACTGGTTCCGTTTCCGTCCTCAGGTAAAGAGGAAGAAGACACCTACTCTGTTTGGGTCCCTTATTAACAGCTAACCTAATTCACTGTGATTGAGGTAAGCTCTTTCTAAGGGACCCAAAAGAGTAGGTATTCACCTGAGGACGGAAACAGATCCCGTTTCCGAAACGGTGTGTTTTATAGTTTCTAGAATACCAGACATTGGACAAAGTCCAAAAACCCAGTAATTCTTGAGCATTATACACCACCGTCAGAACCCTTTAGAATCTAAAATGAATCAGTACCTTCCCAGAAGCTTGGTTTTAAATGCCAAAGAACGCCTAACACAAACATAAAATACATAAAGTTTGCTGCAATTATAACTAAGTAGATATAAATAGGCTTAAGAAGTGTAATATTACATTTTTACAAACTAACGAAATTTCGTAGTCAAACCGTCTAAAATATCTACGAAAGACACATACAACTTTCTGTCCGCTTGCTCTGTAAAAAGGAACGTTATGTTAAGACGTCAGGCTTCAGAATTTAACGTTAAAACCACCTACGTTCGTGGGAGATTGCAGCAAAGGGCGTACATTGTAAGGAGCATAACTGATCACCGATATAAGATAAAATGTCCGAAACTAGAGAAGTTATTGATTAAGGGGGAAAATATAAAAAAATTGGTAAGTGGAAAGCGCAAGGACATTTATAAGGTGCATGAGCTCACATTTCCTTCGGTTACCACTTCGTATTTTCATACTCCATACACCATCTGATTCAGGGTCAATGACCTAGCCAACAACACATTCTTTCTTGTGAACCACCACCTGGGGCTACTAACTTGAAGAAACACTAAGAATTCCAACTACCGAGTCACAGGGTGAATAAAGAAGTGTCTGTATCTACCCTAACACACAAACACACATACACTTCCACGAGACATCCGAAAAACAAAACAAAACGGCACGAAGTTCGTTTTCCGAGAAAAAAAAATTGCCGCTGGAAGTATTTTCTCCAAATCGCTTTGGGGCACAACTTTTGTTGGACGTGAAGGCTTGAGGGACGTCGGTTCAGCCTCGAGCCCGGTCGCCACTGAGACTGCGAAGTCTGGAAAATATTGCTTTGGGGTAATCAATGTTAAACCCCCCCTCAGCTTCAGCTACTGAAGAAGTAAGCGCTACCGGGGGTGGTGACGAGGGGGACAAACTGGAGGGGTACATCCGAAGAGAGGGGAGTAATCTTATCCCCCACCAGCACCACGCTTTCCACTACCATCGCACCCGAAAAATAATAATAAAGCACTCACACATCCACGTAAGGATAGGCAGCCATCCATGCGCTGAGGCAGAGGTCGTACTAGTAAAGTGAGTGATATGCCCGCGCTCCACGCCCACCCTGAGGGTACGGGGGGGTGCCACCGCCGTTACGCCGAACAGGCGGCTGAGAAGAGCGCGCAGAATCTACCGGCAGTGGCGAACCTCCACGACTGCCCTCCCCTTCCTCGGTACAGACGTGAAGCAAAAGGAACGCAATCCTTAAGGATTTGGTGGGTGAGTGAATCATTTGCACGGAAATAACAGTTTGCGGTCTCCATTGCAGCTTAACAAGCCACAGACGGTTTGTTTATGTTTGGACCCCCACCACGGGGGTGTCGCAACACAGCAAGCAGTGTTCATGCCTGGATATATAATTGCACAAGTAGAAACTTATAATGTAAGCTGTATAATTGGGTCAAGACCAGAGCTCGTTTCTGGCCACGACATCCAAGAAATGCGTTAATTTCATTCAAAACATTTCCCCTCCATGCCTACTTAAGATCTGTCAATCAGGCAGGGACACACAAGGTTTCAGGCAACCAGACCTATTGTGTTACCACTGTTATCATGGTCAGAATACCACTGCTACGGCTATGCCTGCAGGTGTTACTCACAGGCCAGAAAGTTGGGTCTGTGGAATGACAGGCCACGATTACGAGTGTCTCATGGATGCTATGAACTTTCTTTTTTCATTGGCAATTTCACTAAGACGCTTAGATACGCAGTGTTTTATTTATCTGGTAACGTTAGTCGCAATTAATATTATTATTATTATCATCATCTCTTGTCACAGGTTTTTTTCCTGGGATTCCTTTTCTTGAACCAGTGATGCACTTCACCACTCAGGCTTCAAGCTTTGCACTGTAGCACTTTCCGTAGTATGTGTGATGTTCCCAGGATAGCTGTTTTTTTTAGCGAATCTATGGAGTACTTACCAGGAATTAGTTCCAAATATTTTCTCAACCCTCTCGTGACTGTACCCGTGGCTCCAATAATTACTGGTATCACAAAACATTTCATGTTCCACATTCGCTGAATTTCGATGCTTAAATTTTTATATTTTAATTTCTTCTCTGCTTCTTTTTGTACTACATTCCTATCCGATGGTACTGATACATCTATAAGTATGCAAGTTTTCTTTTGCTTGTTTTTAATTATTATGTCTGGCCTGTTTGCCAGAACCTCTCTGTCTGTTTGTACGCCTTGGTTCCATAACACGGTTATATCCTCATGTTCACATACTGACTTAGGCACGTGTGAGTACCAGTTGTCTGGTACTTCAATTCCAAATTCTTTACATATTGAGTAATGTAAATACAT